TCACACAAACCCACTATGCAATGCATATCCTTCCAATTTTTTGTGTCAAAATAAAAGATGATTGACTTAATAAACTTCTTCTAAAGTTTCATTAAAAATTTCCATGTATTTATCATAATTTCCGTGATTTTTATCCAATTTTTATCGATATCGATATTTTCCCGATATTTCCATCGATATTTCCGTGTTTTTGAACCACCGATATTTCCGAAACTATCGATATTTAAGACCTTGATTACAATTTTGGTCATTGGGTTTAGTGTTGATTTCAATTTTAGTCACTGTACTTTCAATTTTTCTATTTTGGTCATCACACTTTGCATCGTTAGCAAATCAAGTCCAATTAAGTATTTCGTCAGTCAAAACGCATGTGGTGCGTGTGTGTATTATTGCCCTTTCACATCAGCTCAACTCTCTCTCTCAGCAAAGGCCTTGCTAGATCTCCATCTGTGCTGCAAAGGATCAAATCTATCCACCTCTACAACTTCAGATCCCCAGAGCCACACACCAACACCTTTGAGAAAAACCCAAATCACATGAAATTATTCCGTTTCCGCCCATTGCCTTATGGCGACAAAGTAACATGTGTCGTCGAACGTCCTCCCCATACTAATTTCTCCATACTAACATAAATTGAAACACTAACTTTATTATCAAAACAATAAACCTTATTCATAAGTATTAGCACTGCAACAGAAATTTATTTATGAGCAATTCTATTTAATTACTTCCACACATTATTATTTTAATGGCTTAGCACATAACAACTCCTTGCCAGCATGAACTCTAGTTCATAGCCGAAGTTGTGCCATGCATGATTTTCCATCGATCTCATGGTAACCATTGGCTTCCAAGGAGTCCTTGTAGATCATCCCTCGGTATGCTGGTGGGTGAGACTCGCCCACAAACTCTGGACCTGGTTTCACAAATGTGTCAAGTGATGGTCCATGGACTGTGGCCACAGAGATTCTTCTCACCTCGTTGTTCAGGATCACACGATGCATAGGACTCTTGTACTTCCCATTTGTTAAAACCTATTATATATAATACAAGCAATGAATTAAAAACAAGTAATAAGCATTGGGAAACTTTTATATTAGGCAAATCTACTTCTCTTATTTGCTTGACTTTGTTCTTAGTTTTGGACTTAAATGCAATAGTTAATTTCTATAATAAAGTCTTACACAAAATGAACTTTGATTTCAACCTCATGATTCATATTGAAAGTCAAACAATTCCAAAACAAAATATATACTTTTCTTGCATGGTGGACTCATGGATCTCATTTGGGAGATATTTTCGAGTGATGAGTCCACCTTAATTTCTTACAGGGATGTAAACGTAGAACTCATAAGTTCACATCTCTTGTAGGCCAATTCATTCATGAGTTCAACCTTTGTGAAAAATATGATTAATAATATGATCAATAAATATGATACATGCAATGTGCTCATTTTGGAGATATCTTCAGGTGACGAGTTCATCTTAATTTCTTACAGATTTCTTGTAGGTCAGACTCATTCATGAGTTTGACCTTTGTGAAAAATATGATTAATAGTGATGGGATGAATAAATTTGATTCATATGCGCACTTATTTATCTTATGTCAAAAATAAATTAAGGACTTCAAATATTCAATATGCATGTACCTCAGCATGATCCCCAATCTTAATGAAAAAGGCATTGGAAGGCATATCAAGATTGATCCACTTTTGTTTATAGTTTAGTTGGAGACCACCGTTGACGTTTTGTATGAGGGAACCAAAGTAGCCAGGGTCATAATGAGCCGGCAAACCGATTTGAGTGTTGGGTTTAAACCCGGGCGGATACACGTTCATAGCAGAAACATCAGCCCCAGTTTCTAACTCAAATTCCTTCTCTAAGTAATTTTCTTCAAATCCCAGTGTTTTCGATACTGCTTTAGCCAAATTAATTATCACCTCTCGATTCCTTTGGTAATAATCTTCCAAGGCCTCCCTCTAAGTAACATATATATATATAGTCGGACATAAATTAAGGTTAATCTTAGGCCATTTAATAAAGACAAAGTAGGGGATGAAAAAAGTCGAGTTAGACCAATTATTAGGATCCGTACTTGTGCTTTAGGGTAAGCATCAATCTGGCTGAAATGACTAAACTGACTTATCTGAATCGTAATGACAGCTTTGATTTGGTTTTGATAATAGAAAAAGTCAAACAAAAACCGAATCGTAATGGTTTGGTGCAGTCGCGGTTTTAATTTTTAGAAACCGAACCAATCACATGTATATTTTACTGTTAAATCCAAACCACAGTTATTTTTAAACTCAAAACTATGTTTAAAAAAAAATACAAATATAACCACAATATAACTTTAAAAGATACAAATATACAATCCAAATCCTTATGTGTGAGATGCTTCTCCCCATAAGTGATTCTGGTCCCCCCATAATCAGGGACAGTTCCTTAAACATGCTAACCTGGGCTATAGCAAAGAGAACCTATTTTTTTTTTTTTTTATAGACCAAATTAATACCCTAGTCTAGGCCACTCAAATAAACTACGCTCCCCCTCACAAAACTTTGCATTATATTAAACTCCCACTAGGCTGACCGCACGACTAGGCTAACCACATAAATTCCCTTCTTCTTCTTTTTTCCTAACTCAATTTTTTTTTTTTAATGTTGAAATTTTGGGAATTATTTAGGGTTTATGAAGTATGAATTAATGATTTACAATTGAGGTTTATCAATTAGGGATTTTGATCAATTGATTAGTTATTGACATGTTGATTGAAGATGTGATAAAGGCCTAATTTCTTATTTACAA